CTGGATATTTGATTGATGATTCAATCACTTCGAGTTTCTTTTTCCTGGAGTGCCTGATGTTGGAGAAACCAATCTGTTGTCTTCAAGGAATTCGCCATAAGTGGGAGCATCCTTCAAATCGTCCTCTAGCTGAACGTCGACTTCCTCAGAACTCAAACTTTGTTGCACCGGAGAACTTGAACTCGAACTCGAACTCTGTTCAGTCATGATTTGAAGCAAAGCTCTCATATGATCCATCTTTGTTGCAAGCTGTTTCATGATGTCTGCAAGGTTTTGCTCCATGTTTGCACATCCGTTGCCTTCCTCGCCACTATGTTGAACCGGAGCTCTGATACGACTTGATATGAGCAGAGAAACACTCAATTTTGTCAAAGTCGCACAACCACAATCTTTTTAGGGTTTTCTGAACTTTTCTTGACAACACGAAAAACTAATAGTATAAGGCGGAATTGAAGTGCAATCTCACACCTAGGAGACTGCTCTATCAATATAAGGGTAGAACCTCGACCACAATCAAAATGGATGCTTGATACAAAAATACACTCAACACGATTGGAGTCAACCAACGATGAGAGCAAAATTCACAAGCCAAACACTTAATAAACCAAAGGGTTTTTCAATTAATTAAAGTCTGCCCCAAAAATCGTGTTTACAACACTTTAAGTAGGTCTGAAAAATCAAAACTAATACAAAACCTGAATTTTCCCAATACTTCTAAACAAAAAAGATAAATTTACTCGCCATCCCAAATCTCCGGTCTAAGATCACCAATTGGGAATTTTACACAAATGCTCGGTGGTCATTTTGATTGTAATTCCCGGTCTCCCTTCTTAATTCCCCGGTCGGAGAATTTTACGGCCGAGGAGGAACACATCTATAAGTATCTTTCATAATTCAAGGGCCAAAGCACACAAAATATACTGCCTTACCTGCATAGAGAGATTCTTCTAATCTCAACATAGAAAACATACATCGACACATCATTTTGATCCCTATTCATCTTCTTTCTTTTGTTATTGATGAGAATTTTTCCAAGACTCTGAGAAATCAATCAAGTGGGAGGTCACTTTTGAATCTCTCATTTATATATCTAAAACCAAGAACAAAAACTTCTAATTCTTATCCATTATAGATTTCTAAACTCATTTTGATCCTGATTTATCATGAAATTTTTGTAAGACTTGAGTCGGGAACCAAAAATGTGATAGTTTTCGTAACGTAGGAGCAAATGCATAACCATAAATTATATAATTAGCTTTGTGTCCGGTCGTCGGCCGGATAAATTTTATTATTAACAATTATTAATCGGTATAGTTAAATAATTTTCTGTTAATTAATATTTTATAAATCAGAGACCCACTATATCCATAAAATTTGTGTTGGTATTTTATAATATGAGACTCGATATAATTTCATGTAACTTCTGACACAATATCAATGAGTTTGCCACTTCAGATGTTCTTCTCTCACAGTCAATGAATTTTGATCCCTTATGTAAGAACCTATATACATGTTGCTTTGTCAAGGTAGTTAGTTCTCAATGATCAATGACTTTTATTCTTGTACTACTTATTTATTAATTTATCTCAAACAACTTTTGAGCTTTTTTTTTAGGGTAATGTCTATTTTTTATCCAAATCTTTTTCAGATTCTTTTATATTATCCAAATTTATCGAAATATTAAGAATTAGTCAAATGTTAACTTTCAGTTAGCAATTTTGTTAGTAATATTGACTTGGGAATATGAAACTAACTTGGAAGAGACACATGAAGGTCAACATTCCAAAATTTTAGTATTTTAACTAAGAAAATAGTTGCAAAATTATTAACGATAACGTAAAAATGGCTTATATTTTGGTGAATTACGAAATATTTGACTAATAATAATATCTTCAAAACCATATCTAGTCATGAACCCAAAAATGTGATAGTCGTTTGCAATGTAGGAGCAAATGCATAACCATAAATGATGTAATTGTGGAAAACCATATATAGTCTTTTAAATTTTATACGACTCATATATATTTCTTGATTGTTTAGCTTGATATTTATCATACTTTGGCCTATTTTATGCTACTTTATGTTCATTTGTCACATTTCAGATCCTAGCACTTAAAGTGAAGCATATGCACAAGTTTCAAGTCAATCGAGATCAATTGACGACTCGGGAAGAAAGTCGGGCGAGACTACGAGTGTTTGGGATCAAACGACACCTGATTCACAGTCTGAACGAGGGAAAAATGAAGGATGAAAGACAAGGGACCCGGAATGGTGAAATCCCCGGTCTGGAGGTTCAAATCCCCAATAGGGGATTAGGAAGCCAGGTAGGGGATTTTGATCAGATGATATCTTATAGACCATTAATTGCACATGTTTATACCTCCATTCTTGAGCCATTTGAGAGTCGATTCTCGTGTTTTATGCCGATTTCACGCTAGGTTGTGTGTTTATGTCATATTTCAGGACTTGGCATTGACGTGAAGGTGAGGAAACGAGTTTCGGGTCAAAAAGGAGGACACTGGAGTGAAGGGCGATGTAAGAGGAAAATACTCGACCAGGAGTTAAAATACCCGGCCGGGTAAAATGCAAAGAGAGACCGGGGATTCCTGTTTTGGACGCCAAAAAGGAGGAAGGGGTCCCGGTCGGGGAGCTAAAATACCCGATCGGGTATTAACCCCTAGCCGCTGCGCATCGTTTTGAAATCCCCGGACGGGCACATGAAATACGAGACCGGGTATTATGGCCGGGGATCGCGACCTCTTACTTTTAGGGAAAGAAGACCAATTTTTGGGGGGTTCCGAGTTTTAGAGATAGAAAGCTAATACCTAGAGAGAGAGAGTGACGAACTAGATTCTCCAACTGCTCTAGATCTATCTTCATCACCATTGGAGCTCGGCTTAAGCTTGGAGAAGTGCCGATTGATTGCCAGAAGCAGAATCTCATCCTTCACAGCATGGTTTCCGCATCTGAGCTAGATTTCCCTTCTCTCTCTATGGAGTAAACTTTCTCATTCACCTGGGTATGAAGAACCATAGATTTGTATGTTAGGTCTGATTGTATGAACCCAAGTATGAATTCATTGATATTGATTATATTCAATTGAGGTTTGATTTCCTGAATGGCATGAATCCTGATCAAATTCCTGTTATTTCTGCTTTGACCTAGAAAGAGAATATTTGCCTAGGTTGATAGAGCACCCTCGATTGAAGGTAGTAAATTGACGACTTTAGTCGAGGAGTCAATTCACTATTTTGTACCGGATTTACTCCGGTAGATGAGGTTTTTTTCGTTAGGGCCTCAATCTGTTTACTCCAGTGGAGGTTAGTCGCCCGCTGGGGACTCATATTGAGAGGGTCTGGATACCTTTAGTCGATACTGCAGATTGTTTAAGAACCTCTTGCACTATAACTATCTTTGAACTTGGACTTTGTGAATTACAACCTGGCTTAACTGTAGTCTAGGGGGAACCATATCTCGGTGACCTCTCTCAACTTTGAACACAACTTTCACTGCTTTTGCTTGCTAGTTTAGTTAAACCTTCACTACACTTGAACCGCTAAATAATAAGATTTTCACGGAGTAGTCATCAAACCTAGGACCCGGGTTGACATTTAGAACTGAACCCGCTATACTACGCATTAGTAGGTGGTTACACTTGGCCACTTTCTAGTGTGACGGTAGAGGCGTGTCACTATCCCCGGTCAGGAGGTTCAATTACCCGATCGGGTATCTTAAAAACCCGATAGGGTAATTCTCCTTTTGCATTGAAAAATGTCCCGGAGCGTTTTGAAGATCCTCGTTCACCAAGTACAATTACCCGACCGGGTAATATGACCGAGGAACTTCCAAAACGGGTTAAAAGCGTGTTTTGTGCATTTTTGAGGAGGAGAGCTAGGTTTTGGTTACAAACACCCATGAGACGAACCAAAGAGAGAGAGGTTGATCTTGGAGCGTAAATGGAGGATTTATTCGCCTTGGAAGCTCAAGGAACAAGCCCAAACATGAAGATTGGAGATATGGAAAGTTATACTCTATTCTCTCTCTTCTCTATGGAGTAACTTCCCTCACATAGGTTTTGAAGAAGCCTAGATTTGTATGCTAGGAAGAGTTGTATGAACTCAAATTCATGATTGATTGAAATTTTATATTCAGTTGAGGTTTTTATTTAGAATTGCTTGAGTCCTGGTCAAATTCTTGGGATTCCTGATTTGACCTAGAATGATACTCTCTACATAGGTCAATAGAGGACCTTGAATTGGAGGTAGTGAATGGGCGACTTTAGTCGAGAAGTCGATTCACTGCTCTGTACTGGTGTAGAACCCAGTAAAGGAAGTTTGAATCTTATTGCTTCAATTAGCTTTATACTGGTCGAGGTTAGTCGCCTGCTGGGTATTCAAATTGAGAGGTTCTGGAACACTTTAGTCGAGACTCCAGACTTTTTTAGAACTTTCTGCAGTATAGATGTCAGCTAAATTGAATTGGGTGAATTACAATTTGGCCTAACTGCAATCTAGGGGGAATCATACCTAAGTGAGTTCCCAACCTGTAATTAGATTAACTTTAACCATAGTTTGCTAAATTAGTTATAGTTCTTCTATCTTAATATGGTTTGCTAGATAATGAACTGAAGCTGAGTAATAGTAACTCTAGAGACCCATGTATAGACACCAGTTTTTGTCCGGGTTAAAATATCCAATTAAAAAAAATTTAATTTTTGTTTAAGATTTGCAATAGTGAATCTTAAATTACCTTATAGCTAAAACGTATATACAGTGGTTGGAAATCGTCATATTTTTCATAACTTAATAAGATTAGCAATAGCAAATCTCATTTTGTACAATTCTGATCAATGAGTTTAGCAATAACAAATCTCAATTTTTATAATTTGATTAATGACTTGGCGATAATGTGAGTTGACCATTGAATTGATCCTTAAAATATTGATTCATGGAAAGATTGGACTTTGATTTCAAAATAATAACAGATAAGTCGAATTAAGGGCAATGACTGGTATCTTATTAAAATAAATCACAATTACAGATGTTATTACAATTATATAAAATAAAAACATTAAAACTGGCGAAGTCAAAGCCTATACCAAAAGTCAACGAAACTCAACTCTGTTAAAGTCACCGTCAACAAAAGTCCAATCAAGTCAACAAAGTCAATCTGGTCAGCTCTGACACAACCAGACCGGTTCAATCCAAAACCAAACCGGTACTGTTGCAAACTTGGGGATCAAGTTCCCTTTTCCTATAAAAAAGAACACATCTGCTATTACAAAAGGAGGAGAGAGATAAAAAAAGTTCCTTCTCTTCCACTTCTAGACTTCCTTCTTCTTCTTCTTACCTGCAGAAAACAGAGAACTCCCCTTTACTTCATTTCTCTTACATAGAAAACCAGAGAGCTCAAGAACTAAAAAATTCATCTCAGCTACCTTCTTGTTGATCCACAAAGATAGAACGTGAACTTCTTCTTCTTCTCACACTCCCATTTCCCTCTCAAACACACAACTGAAACCAAAATTAAAGACATCAAAAACTCTCAGCAAAATACCCTACTTCTTACCTTCTTGTTAACCACAAAGAGGCACACAACACAAACAAACTCAAAAGGAGCAAAAAGCAGCAACAAAGATTCGACAAAAGCACTGGTAAGGGGGCAGAGACATCACAAAACTACAAGTCACAAGCAAAGGTTGGTACTCACACAAACTCATCTAAGCATCATCACCATTATCTATCATTTCAATATCACCTCTATTTCTACATCTCCCCAATAAAACAGTTTAAGAAGAGTATCTACCTAATCATTTTAGCAAAGCACGACATGGAAGTTTCACTATAACAATGAAGCAATCAACTAAATCATATTGCTTTACTTCCTTCCTACTTATATTTTAGTGTTGCTCATTCAAGCACTTCGATGTTAAGGCTAATCACAAACAAAAACATATCTTGTTTCATTTTTAGTTTCTCTTCCATTACTTTGCTTTTCTTAATATATTTCTCTTCCATTAATTTGCTTTACTTAATATACTCATTTACAACACTAAATTAACATCAAAATCATAAGCTTAAAAATACATATTCAATAGACTTAATCATAAGGCTCATGACTAAAACTTTTAGAGGTATTTTTAGAGCACTTTGTTTTTATTCAAAATCCCACTCGATATCTAAGACCCTTTTTCAACCGAAATCACATATCATAATAACCCTCACAAAGCTCGTCGGCAACACCAAAGCTCGCCGGCGGTGGCTGCCCTCCCTTCCATCCTATTCGCACTAATTCTTTCTCCCCTCGTTCGGACCCAAAAAAAAAAGAACCCAAAAAAATGAAATAAGAACCCTTAAATAGAATCGAACCTAAAAATTTTACATGCAAACCCCCAAAGAAAAATCCTACCTTTGTCGCCATCGACCGTCATCATCGGAGTCCTCCTCCGTCGTTTCTTCCTGCAGTCGCCGTTTGTTTTCTACACTTGTCTCCGTGGTTTTCGTGTCGTCGTCGAGAGATGCTAGTGGCGACGGCGACGACCATATCATCTTCCCGTCGTGCTCTGCCGTGGCCGATCTTCCACTCTTACAAAAATAAAAAACCCCCTTAAAAATCTAGCATGCAAGGAAAAGAGAAGCCGGTTTTACCTTTGACACCGCCATCCCGTTGACGCCATCTCGGCCCTTGCTCCGCCGCCGCCGTCGCGGCCATCGCGAGCCTCTCCTCTCCACCGACGCCATCGCAACCCTCGCCTCGCCGCCGATGGCATCGCAACCCCACCTCGTTTATGGTTCGATTTCCTTTTTCGGCTTCTCTTCTCGGTTTCCAGATGACGTGAGAGAGAGTTGGAGGAAGAGGGTGAGAGGGAGAGAGCAGATCGATTTGGATCTGGGTCGTTCTTCGTTGCAGAGAGAAAGAACGAGAGAGAGAACGATAGAGAGAAGGGGAAGTGACTTAGTGGGCATCAGAAATGAGCTAGGGTTAGGGTTTGTGTTACTAACCACAATTATATCTCTGCTCGCTAAAACGACCCCGACGGCGTCGTTTGACGCATTTCCCACCAAAACTACCTAAGGGAGTCCGGACCACATATTAAACTTAGTTATTGTTAACTTAAATAAACATAATACGTAACTTAAGCACGTTGATTTTCTTTGTATATCCAGAGGATCAATAAACCTCTAATACTAAATTTCTATAAGAATCATTAACTTCATTTGAAATAATTGCCTGCATACATATGTTTCTTTTCTAAAAATCCTTAATACGAAAAGACATGCTCACTAGAACGTGAGATCGTGTAACCAATAAATAATTAAGCCAGCACACTAAAATTATCTTCAAAGAAGAAATTCAATATCTAAACTTACACAATAAATAGAACGCGTAAAGTTTTCTCTTTTCAAAACCGATCAAAACAACCGAACTACGTGGACTTTGATCCCGACTACTCGGGTACGTAGGCAACTAATAGATTTCAAGTCCAACTAATCAAAAACTTTCTCCACATTCCTAATGTGTGAGACTCAACATTTATAACTCAAAATTACGAGCGAACTGGGTGGACTTTGATCCCGACTACTCGGGTACGTAGGCAACCAATAAGTTTGAGTCCAACTACTAAAAAAAACTATTTATTTTCATTTGAGAATTACTTCAATAGGCATATGATCAAATCATTAATAATTTAAACCTAATTAATTAAATCACATAATTAAATACGTAAATGAGGCGCAAATTATAAACACCCAACCCTTAAAAACTTATCGATTTAAGTAGTACCCATTTGGGGCGTTGTGGGGTGTGAATACACTTCCCCACACGTAACCGCACTTCCGAACCTTGAATCCTAAATTTCGCAGACCAAATCCCGGTTCTGACCCTAAGGTTGGAACCGGACCAAATGAGTGTTCGATCCACTCCAAGTAAGATCGATGGCAACTCCGATAATTTTTCCTGACGGATCCTTCCGATTTCGGAGCGGCGGTTGCGACAGTAGGGGCGGTTGCGACACCATGGATTCGATATTTATTACTTGTGCCGGTATAATGTAGTCCCATTCATTGACTACACTTGGCAATTGTTAGAAGTTGTGTTTTAGTGAGTCAAGTTTTTGGCGCCGTTGTAGGGGAATCCACCACCACCCTAGTGGTATTACCCCGAGACTTCCTGGAGCAATCAAGGAAGAGAAGACTATGGATTCTAATATGCCCCTGGGGTGTATTTTTATCAAAGTCACGTAGCAAACAATCAATCCGAAGATTGATTGAACTCGAATCAAGAACAACGCGTTCTTAATACGAAAATTGGATAAAACGGAACCAACGGACAATTCCACACCTTGGGAAAGCTCGTACGGTATAAAAGGGTAGTTGCTCGACCACGATTGAAGGGACTATTCAATCGATACAAAGCTCAAAAAGTTTGGAATCCACCAAACCCAAAACAAGTTCGCAAACTTGCAAAACCAAAAGGTTTCTTTTCTATTCAATCAACTCTTACTATTACAACGAAAACTAGAAGGTATTTAAAGGCAAATAAACCTAATACAAACCTAATAGAACTAGGAAACAATTAATGTAAATTCTACACTAAAAAGGACACAAAATTCGGGTTAAACTCCCTTTCTTGAAACGCAAGCAAGCTGCCAACAAACAGTCAAAAGGCAGCTTTCGTAGTAACTTCGTGCCATTCGTTGAAGCCTTCCCGAACTCCAATCCTTCATCCAATTCCTTCCCTTTGTACATAAACATACCTAGTTTCATGTTGTGGAAGCCTTTGGACTTGAATAAGATCCATACTCCGTGAATCAAGCTCCAAAGTAGGCTTCACAAAACAGTTTCCAGACTACCATTTTCTGGCAGTTTTCCAGTTTTGAGGTAGCAACTTTGAGGCCTTGGAAAACAACCTTAATGACATCATCTGGATCCACAAAGCATACCATTGGAAAAGTGGCAAAACAAACCCTTAAAATGGAATTTTCACCACGCCAATTGAGAGAACCATGCCTCCAAAGTATGTACTCTGAACACGGATTTTGACTTAGCCAAATTCTGCCCTTCTTCTTTCCAACTTTGATAGCTTCTTCGTCAAGTAATTTAAACGTGTAGAGCTTGCCAATTGGGATCATATCAGATTCGGGTTTCAGTACCAACCCCCTTTCTACCAAGAACAATCAGACCCCTTGACATTTCAAGAACAATATCCTTATCAAGAAAAAATCCTCCCACAATCAGAGGGGCCATCGGAGTTAGAGTTAGCCATGGCAGCCTTCACGGGCCATTCTGCAGACCCATGCTACAGTCCACAGCTAGATCCAAACTATAAATTGAGAGATCCTTGCCCAAGATGGACCTTCTAATCCAAAACATTGGCCCTTACGGCTCTTCATTTCTCCGTGAATCGGAGGACGCTGTTCAGCGCTCAACGAAGCAAACAAAGTGGGTTGATCAAGTTTGTGCACAGCTTGCTCAAGATCGCCTGCTTATGTAAAAGAAGAGGAGGATGATGAAGAAGGCTACAAGGAAATTGTGGAGCAGGCAGAAGTTCTCATGGAGAGCTCCCGTGATGATTATGATTAGGAATGTCCTGTTGTAGCCGACCACACCTCTCCACATCCCGCACCGAGCATTAAAGAGGCGGGAATGAGTGAGGAGATGCAAGCTGATCTTATTGAAAATATTGAATAGCGACTTGCTCTCCAATCTATGACAGAAGAAGAAGAGCGAGAAAGGATGAGGAAAGAAGTTGTGAATGATGATGGAAGTGAAGCAGAGGAAGTTCTTGATCTTTTCCAAGGGGAGGAATCAAATTCCTAGGAAGGAAGGGGGTTGATGATGCAATAGGCGTCCAGACGGAGGATGAATTTGAGGTGGAAGAGGCTTGCACCGGCCATGAGTTACATGTGATATCTCCACCAAACATCGAGGAGCTGCTTGGGAATGACCCATTTGTAGTGTCTCTTTGCCAGACCAAGGCCACATCAACAGCGGTCCCTCTTGGTGGACGCGACAGTGGTTGATATATGCTTCCATATCTGGTTTGGGGCAATGAGACGAGAAAAGAAGAGCAGAAGAGGTCTCGAGGGTGGAGACTTCATCTGCATCAAGTGCACAAGCCTACATAACCTGATACACCACATGCTCGTGACTTGAGACTCCACCTCACCGACGAGAACCTCAACTTTAGGGAGGTTCTGGGGTAGACTGAAACTTAGAAGCCACCGTCCGGCTAACGATGTGAAAGAAGCGTTTGTTGGGAGGCAACCCAGCCAGTTGATTTGCATTTCTTTCCCTATTTCTCTTCGGTTGAGTCGGTTTTGTTCTTTGCTTTTAGAGTCAATAACTCAACTTTTGTGAGATTTTGTGGTGTTTGTATTCTGAGTACTATCTCTCCTCCTGGAATGCACCACCTGACCCTCCCACCATCATTCACACTTGATATGACAACTTCGTTCTACCATCTTTATCTTTCCTCCATTGAGGAAAATGTCGTGTATAAGTGTGTGGGGGGGGGTGTTCGATTATGTATGCATGTGAATGTTTGGTTGTATGTGTGTGTTTAGAGCCTCGTCCACTGTCCAAATTTTGATATGAGGGCTCCAAGTATGTGTTCCTGGCAATTTCCTGCTCAATATGCTATGAATTGACAGTCTTTATAGTAATTTGCAACATAGGCAGTAGTGTAGCACTATGGAGGATGTTAATGTAGTTAAGAAGTCTCATTTCTTCTTCATATTGTGTTGGTTGATTGTGTGAATTAGTCATCTTAGGACACTTGAATCATGTGGTATCGATGACTCTCTCCCCCTCATGGACTCTTGTATAATGTTTTGAAAAGTGTGCTCTAAATTGTGATTTTAAAATAATGTCTCCCGTGTGGAAATTGGTGAAAGTGTGTGCAAGGAGAGATGGGAATCTGTTCCCAACTTCCACCTACTACCTCCAGCCCCCTTGCACCTCTATCATTGCACGAGGCTTGAGACATCTGCTCCCGGCATGGTCAGTAAGAGCCGCTCCCGGCATGGCCGGTAAGAGCCAGGCTCCCTTAAAACCTTTTCGAGGTGGGAGCTCCATTTTCTGAAAATAACAGGTTGGAATCCTTGCAAAAAAAAAAAAAAAAAGAGAGAGAAACAAGAAAATGAAAAAAAGAAGAAGAAAGGGGGTTCCAACCATCTTCAATGAAAGAATAGAGCACCTAAAAGTTTGAGTCCACGATTTTTCTGTTTTTGAGAGACTCTTTATTCATGGATAATTTGTCCTACGATCACTACTTGACATGATTCCAACTCGGGACAAGAGTTCTCTCCAAATAAGCTAGGAGGTGTCTTGTGAGTTGGTTGACCTCGTAAGCTTCTAAATGACCTAGGAAGTCCTCTATAGACGATCGGGGTTGCGTGTTTCTGTAGAGGTCTGGAGAGTTGCATTGGTTTGAGTCAGATTTGATCGGGGACAAGCAAACAGTAAAGTGTAGGGGAATTTGATAACACTAAATTTGCACATGTTTGCACCCTCGTTTCTTTATTGTTTAGCTTGGTATTTATCATACTTTGTCCTATTTTATTCTAGGTTATGTTCATTTGTCACATTTCAGGTCCTAGCACGTAAAGTAAAGCATAAGAATAAGTTTAAAGTCAATTGGAGATCAATTGACGACTCGGGGCAGAAACTCGGGCATGTCCCGAAGAAGAATGGATTTCTACCTATTTTATGACCAAAGAATCATGTAAGCTTTTCATGAAAATAAATAGGACGAGATTACGACTGTCTGGGATCAAACGACACCTGATTCGGAGTTCGAACAAGAGAGAAACGAAGAATCAAAGACAAGGGACCCAGAATGGTGAAATCCTCGTTCTGGAGGTTCAAATACCTGAAAGGGGATTAGGAAGTCAGGTGGGGGATTTTGATAAGAAGAAATCCTCGGTCAGGAGGTCCTATTATCCGACGGGTATATTAAAAACTCAACCGGGTAATTCTCCTTTTGCACAGAAAAGTGACCCGGGGGTTTTGAAGATCCCCGGTCACCAAGTACAATTACTCGACCGAGTAATATGATCGGAGAACTTCCAGAAGCAGGTATATAAGCTGGTTTTGTGTGTTTTTGGAGGGGGGACCTGGGTTTTG